GGATTAGCTTCAATAAGTCTGTGTTCTTCTTATATTCAGGACCCCAGAGCTGGACACAGAACTCAAGGTGGAGTCTCACAAGAGCAGAGTAGAGGGCTGCTAGTCATGCCTCTTTTGATGTAGCCCAGGATGCTGTTTGCTCTCTGGGCAGTTCATGTTGATCTTGTCCACCAACACCCCCAAGTCCTTCTTGGTAGGGTTACTCTCAATCTGTTCTTCTACTACCCTGTACTTGTACTTGGGATTGCCCTCATCCAGGTGCAGGACCTTGGCCTCTGCCTTGTTGACTGTCATGAAGTTCATCCAGGCCTATCTTTCAAGCCTGTCAAAGATGACATACCTTCCCTTCAGCGTGTCTACCACACCACATCAGAAAACTTGCTGAGGGTGCACTTGATACCACTGTTCATGTTGAATTTGAATGTCTGACTTGGATATGCCTTTCAGATGCACTGAGTATCTGGAAACTCCAGTTAGAGCTGAGGAGAAGTTTGCCCTTGCACAAAGCCACATTAGCTACCTGCCCAGACTTGCTGATTTGAAAGAGAGTGCTCCTACATTATAAAGCACAGTAAGATATTAATCTGAAACCAGTTATATTAGCATTATTGGTTTATTAAGTTGACTTTACTGCTGTTTCTGAGAACTGTGGGTGAGTGGCTCTGTTTCTGAACATGGGAAAAGCGTTCAGAAGCAAACAAGCAATTAAATCTCACAGCATCCCCGTGAAGTATTTTTAGAGAAAATATGGAGAAATGACGTAACTAATTCCAAATTCTGTAAGTTGGGGTTGGTCAACACAGATAAACTCCAGTTCCCCAGCCTTATGCTCCAGTCTGAGTGGAAGACAAATATATGCAGTCTGGAAGCTGTGCATCATTGTCAATAAAATGAGATGCCTAGACTCCGCCTCTCATTAGAGCTGGTGAATTTGAAAGGAGTGGCATGCTAACATAGCAATAAAAACTTCTGGATCACCAGTTTTGTGTTTAGCCATGAATTCTAGGGCAGACCCTCTGTGTTATCCGTGGATTTCGAACCTTGATCTGCTGATTTTCATTCCCCTGTGTCACTGACCAGAATACATAATCTTGTGTACACGTGGAATAATTCTGGCATCTTATGCCTGCATTGCACAGTACAGTTAAGAAGTGATCTAATAGCCTGATTTAAAAGTAGTGTTTGATTTTGCAGGTTGGTGAACTCTGCATTGCAATAAAAAATGAGTCATTTTTATAGACTGTGGGAAAGCAGCCAAGTGGAGTTTAACCAGAGTTTGTTAACACTTCCATGCATTAGTTGCATAACAGTAGTACATATTCGAAGCAAGTGTCTTGTCAAGAGAGCAATTTCCAGTGCTATCCATGGACTCTAAAATGCTTCTAAGAGAAAGAAATTTAGCCTTGTTCAAGAAAAAAAGCCACCAAGGTGTGGAACTTTCAGAAAACTCAGAGTATCAAGGAAGGACAAATGTGGAAGAGTAAGAGCAAGGCTGCCATGGAGGCCTCTTTGCATTCCAAAAGAAGAATATCTTCCACACTGTCAGACTTGAGGCTTGATTTTGTCTCCAAAGGCTTTTGCAGCAAGATCTTTCACAGCTAAGTCAGCATAGAACCCACGAAGTCAGTGATGTAAAAATGATTTACAGTAGCTGTCTGTCTGGCCCTCTTTTCTCTTTTTGTATCAAGTAAAAGAAAATGTAGTAGAGAAAGCTTGGATGTTTTGTAAGGCACACCTCTTAGATTTCTACATAACATAAAAGAATAAACACACTTCAGGTAAGTTACTTTTTTGAACTTAATAAAGGAAACTCTCAGACTCAGATGAAAAAGGAATAGTTAGTTGCTATTAAGTAGCTGGTTGCTAAAATATAAAAAAGAATACTGTTTAGGTGGAGAATTACATGAAGTATCTTAGATTTTGTGGTGGGAAAGTCTTATACGATAGCTATATTAATAGTTCTAGAAGTACTCCCTAGTTCTAGAACAGGGCCTGGATATTTTTGTGCTGTGTTTGTGTTGTATCTACCATAACAAAATCTTCACCCACAGCTGCATCTCCTGGGTGTTAATACAATACAATTAAACAATTACAGGATTGTGTTAGCATTGCCAAATACCTAGGATATTTTTCTTTCTGCTGGTATCTTATTATGAAGTAATTCATCTTTTAAAATAGACTGTCTTATTGAAAACTTCTGTCACGGCCTTATCTAGTGTGTTTGACTATGTAAAGAGTGAAAACTAAAGGGCTACATGTGGGCTGATAGATGTTACATGTCACAGGAGACATGAAGGCCTGCTGTTATCTTTCTGAGGGTGCAGCATGTTACCGTAACAACAAACTGCTGCCTAGCCTCCTGAGTACATCTGGCAGGGTTATAGACAAACTGTAGCCAAATGAAAAATAATTCCTGTACAGTATATAGATATGTGCCCCTTGATAGGGACTCTCTGCCCCTATCACGCATGAGTTGATTCCATTCCCTCTTCTTCTCTCTAATTAAATATGTCACATCTGTTGTAGGGGTGGGTTCATATTCACTACCTGGGCTATAGCACCTGTCTGCCTGATGGTACTGTTGCTTGCCTTTGCCTTTTTTCGTGGAGAACTAGCTTTGACTCAGTTAGTCACTTTTGAATCAAATATCAGGTTAACTCAGTTACAGCTGAAGAGCTTTGGACAGCTAACTAAAGATAAGTCACATTGCAAAATAACTACATTCCAGAGAAAACAGAGAAAACCTGCAGATCTTGCTGCTCAGAAACAAAGGGTGGGAGTGTTTTACTTTTGGGCAGAGGAGAATAAGGATGCTATTCTTTGTAAGTAAAATCAGTGTGGACTTACAAAAGGAGGATCAGGCCTGAAAAATCTGATATCCTCTTCTGGAGAGGGGAAAACAAAGTGAGTCACAGCAGGGACACTATTGACATGACTAATGATGCCTGCTCAGCTGGCGTTTAGGAAAAAAATCTAGGAGCCGTTAGTTGGGGTGAGATAGGGAAAGGATTTAATTGTGCCAGGGCAAGAGATGTTACACGACGCGCGCGCCCCGGGCTGTGCCCGAGATGTTACATTTATAACAATATCTGGCCAATCCCAAGTGTGTCCTCCCCGTAACTTTTGGCCTGGTCCACCCCCTGGCCCACCTCCTGGAATTGGGTCGGGGGGCTTTTTGGGACCCCCTCTTCATCATCCTTCATCATCTTCGGGGTACAGAGAGCAGAGTCACCCAGTTCCTTGACTCTGTCCTGCAGTTTAGGCCAAGATACAAGCGTTCTCAAACAAGACAGGCTTGCCTTGACTAAGAGACTAAACATTTTCTACTGGATATGGGAATAGGGTTGATATGGGGAGTATGGAATGGGGTAAGAGGCTTAAGGAATGTATAAACTAAGGGGTGCTAGGGGAGGAGGGAGAAAGGAGTGTTTCTAAAATCTACTTCTATTACCTATAAAACTTATAAGGTAGAAAAATAAGAAAACCATTGGGGTTTAAGGCATCACTAACCAAGACCAGGGAAAAGCTTTTCATACAGTAGCATACAAAAGGCTTAATCCCAAAACCAAGGAGTGAGGTAGATAGACAGTTTAAGTGGATAAGAAGTTAGTTGCAAATCCAAAGACAGACTGGTGCAAGGTAGAATTACAAAGCCAAGAAATGGATTTCTGTGGGACTGGAAAGAAAAAGGAGCAGTGAGAGAGCTAAGGGAAGACTGCCTTTGACAATTGTGTTTTTTCACAGATAACAGTGTCTGGGTGTTCAACACAAGTCTATTGATTCCCAGTTCAAGAGAATCATTTGCATCTCACATGACAAAGCAATATCTATAAACATGTAAATTCAATATTAGGTATCTTTAAGGTCAGATGCACTGGTGTAACCAATTGAATTGATTATTTATGTTATGAACCCTGAACCATCTATTCTTCACAGCTGAGAACACATTCTAAGGTTGTGGGTTTGATTTCTGTATGGGCCATTCATTTAAGAGTTGGACTCGATAGTATCTGGAGATACTACTGGTGGGTCCCTTCCAACTCAGAATATTCTGTGATTCTGTGATTATTTTCCTTTGTGTCCCTGTGGCAATCCTGATTGCTGAGAACTACTTCAGTGGTAGTTTGCTGCTAAGACCTTGAAGCACAGAAGGCATGTCAGAATTTTCCTGTGCTTCTACTCCCTACAGTCAGACTCGAACTGTGGCTGGAGGCAGTCCTTTAAAGCCTGCCAGCTTCCTAAGGCTGTGTCTAGACATATTTTGTTGGCAACTCCAGATGGCCACCCTTCTGTGCTCTCTGTTTTGCAGGACAAGGGCATGGATAGTTTCTCATATGAGTTATGAGTTATGAGTATGTCACCACTTCATTGCTTTGAACATTCATCCTAAAGGCTGAGTAAAGACTCTGGTTAGCTATCTTGACGTACAAGCATGACTACTTTTTAGTAAAGTAGCTTTAATCTGTTGTGAGAGCTCTCACTACCCCATTTTTGAGTTCCCAGGGTATCACTCCATCCACCAGCTGTGAGGCCAAGTGAAGATCCCTGTATCAGATCTGGGTAATACACTAGCACTCTGTCAGTCAGCCCTAGCTCAGCATATTAAACTATATCTGTTCCTAAAGGAATAGTAGCAGACTACTCAGCACCCTACAGACTTATCACTGCACTCCCCTTTGGCCTTTCTGTCACTTGTTGGGGAACAGCAGATAACCTTGTCTCATGAGGTTCACAGCTGAAGTGGAAATACCTGTCTCCAGCTGGAACTGTCGGTCAGGCCTTGATGGCACTGACCAGGCTTACTGGCCCTGCCCAGCCTTCCCCAGACCCTCCTGCATCCTGCCACATCAGCTCTGCAGGGCTGCCAGCCCCTGCCCCAGTGAGGCCACAGCAGGGTCATGCTCTGGCTCCTCTCAACCCTGCTGAGCCCTGGGGTTGTTGTCCCAGCAGCTCCTCCATTTGGGTGTACTAAAGTTGTAAGAAAAGCTGAAGGACCCATATTCTATCTATCACTGCTATCTCTGGCAGAGCTGTGTTACAGAGCTTGTGAGGCTGAAACCTGAGCTATTCCCTATCATGGAAGATAGGGAATGAGTTTAAAAGAGATGCACTGGAGGATAGACAAGTTCATTGTCTTATCCATTATCTCATATCTTTTAATTATTTTTTTTTCTGAGGTTAAGGATAGGTAGGTTGACTTACGTTCTATAGTAGTAATTGTAGAATTGAAAGAATGACAATTCTTTCATTAGATGCATTACGTGACTTTAAACATCTGCCTTTGCCTCATGGAGAAGAAGAGTAGGGTCTACTATTATTGCCTTCCTCTTTTAGCAAGGGCTGGCGCTGCATGTTTTTGCATTATCTGTTTCTACTGCTTTACTTGATGCTGTCCTGCCTTCCTCTTCTTCAGTCTTGGCTGGGACCACACCTACTTCTGTTCTAAGATATTTGGTCCATCCAAGAGGTAACATCATCCTCTTTCTCCCCCCAGCTTTCCCCCCAGCCATAACCCATGCAATGATCCCAAGAGGCAAGTTCCTAGATTTCCAGAAATTCAGATAAGCCTCTCCGAGTTCATCAAATACAGAAAGGCACCTAGATGTGAAGAAAAACATGTCCAGAATATAAATACTTAGCCTGCCAAGGACTGTTGAGGGGTTGATACTGTCTCTAATTACTACCTTCTGGCAGAGTGTGTCCCTGGGCTATGCAAGTCATAGGTGTTCCTGTACTACAAATAGTGATGATATACATTAGTAAATAAATCCCTGGAATACTCAAGAATTCTCAATAGAGACACTCCTGAGAAAAGGGGTTAATTTATTTTGTGGTTGTCATGGGTACACTGAGCGGTTTACACTTGAGAAGCCACATGACTGTGACTGAGAAACAAAAGGAGGTCTCAGATGACGACAATGTAATCAAAGGAGTGGGGTGCCTGTAAAGGTTTGGTATGCATCATAGCAGAGGTGTAATAAATCAGCTCAGAGAAGTGAAAATTTCTGTTTTATTCCAGTTATTCTGCTCTGCATGAAGTTGTACCAGGGAGGGTTTAGGTTGGATATTAGAAAAAGGGCACTGGAACAAGCTCCCCATGGAAGTAGTCACAGCACCAAGCCTGACAGAGTTCAAGATGCATTTAGACAATGCTGTCATGTTGTGACTCTTGGGGCTGCCCTGCGCAGGGCCAGGAGCTGGACTCGGTGACCCTTGCGAGTCCCTTCCAGCTCAGCATATTCCGTGATTCTGTGACGTGCCCTTCTGCAAGCCCAGTCGCACAGCACTCTCCTTTCTCGGACTCCGCGGCAGTGCCCTCCCGCTGACCGCCGCGGGCTCACTACGTGTGGGCCCCGCCCCGCGCCGGCGGTGACGCGCGCCGGCGGTGACGCCCCAGAAATAGCGGGGCGAGGCCGGGGTTCCCCAGTCGGCGGCGGCGGCGGCGCCCGTGACCCTGACCCTGCCCCTGCCCCTGCCCGTGCTCCAGGCGGCGGCGGCGGCCCCTGCTCCCTCCTCCCGGGTGAGTACGGCAGCCCCGGTGCTCCAGCCCGGCTCTCGCCGGCCGCAAGAGCCCTCGGCGCCCGCCCGCCCCGCGGCGCTAATTCCGCAATATGGTGGAGCCTCGGGCGGAGCGGGCGGGGACTGCGGCTCAGGGTCCGGGTGCGGCGCTCGCCACAGGGCCGCCTCCGCTGCCTCTGCCCTCGCGAGCCCTTCGCCCCGCGTCCCAATGGGTTTTGGTAGGCTGGCAGAAGTTCTTTCGGGACCAGAAAGTCTCGAGATCCTCGAACGCCCCCGGGAGTGGCGTTGAAAAGCCTCATCCCGGAAGCGGCCCGTGGTGGCACTTGAGAAACGGGGGCGCCTTCCTGCCTGGGGTAGAGCGGTGAGCCAGGGCGGGCGCCGTGGCGGTTCTGCATGGCTGTCGTTCTGCTTGCTGGTCTTTCACTTCTTCCCATAGCTAGGGGAAAAAGTAGATATTAAGTTTGTGACGTAGCTCAGTGTGCTTTCCTGTTTAGAATCTTTTGCTGTCTCTGAAATATGCTTGGACTTCGATTCCAGGCGTCTTACTCACCTGCTCCAGAGAAGCGGATCTGACTTTTGCCAAGGCTAAACCTCTTCAAGGGATCTCTGAAACCGTGCAAGATCCTAGTTATCTTCATCTTCTTTAAGAGCAGGAATAACTTCAGGGGCTAACTCCAATGGTTTAGTGACTAGTGTGTGGATGGATCTTGTGGGACTCATTACAGATATTGAATAATCCTTGAAGTAAGGGCCCTTCCTCGTTCCCCATTCCAGATTCTGTGCTGCTAGCCTCTTCTATTATGCAGCATGCTTTGCAGTTCATAGTGAAATTCAGTTTTGCTCCAAATAATCTGACTTGTAATGCTATGTGAGAAATAGAACATGTTTCTGGGATATTTCAGTTCTTGATAAATGGAAGGAAAACTTCTCTGTTACTGCTGTAACCCTTGTCTGTTACCTGCTTGTGTGTTCCATGTACAGTGGTTAATCTCATTACAGGCATTACTGTATGGCACGTGTATGTTAATATGTGCAAATATGCCTATAAAATATTAACAGCATGCCTTTGTCCTTGTTCCCCATTATGTAATGGGGAAAAGTTTTACTTTACCTCAAGGGGAATATTAACACACTCCTTTTGATGCTGTCATACGTATGAGACAGAAAACTGCTGTTGGCTCTTTGACAAAGCTAGCAAAAGGCCTTGTAAACCACAGTCCTTTTGAGAATGGACTCTTTGCCTTTTTGTTACCTTCATTTATACAGGTTCTTCTGGAACCTAAATGTCATGTGAAATTATCAATGCAAAAAGTGCTTCTTGCACATTTAGTTCACCCTACATGTGTGATACGATGACAATGTGCTTCTGTGTTCTCTTGTTATGTGGTACTACAATACCACTTCCTTTATAGGGTTCATGTGGGGAAAGCTGTTAGTATTTTCTCCATGGGAATACATGTTGGAATACATGTTGAGTGATGTAGACTTGTTGAATAACCAGTGTTTGCAACCTGTTTCAGTGGAGGATGGGTAATATTTCTGTGTGTTATAGAAATGCTAACTTTTAAGCAAACTGAACAAGTGTGAGCCCTAGGTGGGCTCCCTACAGAAGATGTAATCTGATTAAAGATGTTGCCGGTGGATTCTTCATCTGACTTGGACATCCTAAACTAGATTTTAGTGCCTTATGGCCTGGCTCAACAGGTAAACCCAGTTGTATCTTAATTCTTCTAGAAAAATGAAGGAATCCACCAGCTGGTAACTCTGGTTATTCAGCAATGAACTGCTGTATCTCAAAGCCTATCTCGTGTATGTGCCATGCTTGTGTTGCCTAAACCAAGTTTTGGATTTCTAAATTGTTACAATAAAATCTAATTCCTGTATGCAAGAAGTGAACATTCTGATCCCATTAAATGGGGTGGATCACAAGAAGGTTGTTGTTTTCAAATTTGGTGCTTAGATAAAGTGGATATGAGAACACCATCACTCGTATATGCTTCTTTCACAGACTGTGTAAGGTTCAAGACCTGAAAAAATGGCATTGGCAGCAATTGATCCACAGCAGGTATGTCTGAGTTAGTCCCATATTTTTTTTGTCTAGATCAGAAAAATAGGAGTCAGCTAACCCCTTTCTCTTTTAAACAGAATATTGTATTGAGGGTTGTCAACCTTCCTTTGGTGAGCTCCACCTATGATATGGTCTCTACAGCTTACATCACCACTAAGGATAACCATCCTTATTTGAAGTCAGTATGTGAGGTAGCAGAGAAAGGAGTGAAGACAATTACATCGGTAGCTGTGACAAGTGCTATGCCTATCATCCAGAAGCTGGAACCGCAAAGTAAGGCAAAGATGAAGCTGTTGATAACTTCAGTTCAGCTGATTGTTTTATATATCCAGATGCACTTATACTTTAACATGGTCATGCAGGTCTGGAGTGCTGTCTCGGGTAGCTGACTAAACCTGTTGCCTGGTCTAAGTAACTGACTATAGATGGGTATGACTTAAAAAAAAACAGTGCAGAGCGAAAGCAGATTCCATCTTTTGTAGTACTAAACTGATTGACTCCTTTTGATACGCAGGATGATTAAGTAATCTCTTGCTCAACACCTTTCTTGCCTTTCACCTGGTTTCAAATGCTACTGTTTCACTTCCTCACACTGAGGACTGGTTACTTTGGAAACTGTGTCGCAAGGCTGTCCTGAGAGCCTGGTTTCATGATATGGCAATGGGCAGGGTGTTTCAGCTTTTTCTAATAGTTGCTTGTAAATTATCGAATGGATTTTCTCTTCCTACAAGTGATTTTTTTTTTCTGGCACTGTAAATCTGCCTTGTTCTTGGGCTTTGTTGCCTCAAATCTCACTGAAGGGGGAAGGAAACTACTTTTAAGAGTGTTGCATGAGTTCTGTTTCAAGAGGAATATTCAATTTGAGTTATTTATACCAGGGGAAAAAATAATTAAAGCCAACTCTTGTAATTTCTTTTATAGTTGTAGTTGCCAACAACTATGCATGTATAGGTCTAGACAAAATTGAAGAGAGGCTGCCTATACTGAATCAACCCACTGATAAGGTAAGTTCTTTCCATGTAAATTTGCTAAGGTGAAGAATCATACACCCTTCTTTTTTGTTATCACTGAAAACCAGGGAGACAGATTTCAAAAAGCCATGCCTGAATCTCAGCTTTAAAGCAATGAGGAAGTCAAAGGTGTAGCTGTCGAACTGTTTGATGCCTTTGTGAGGCCATTAAGCATTTTTTACTTTAAATTTTCCCGTCGTTTGACACCACTGTCTATAGGTGCAGTTCACTGGTGGGTGTCATTTTTTTACACTCAAGTCTTTGTCTCTTTCCTGCTCAGTGTGAATAAAATAGTGATTGGATTACAATCCCTGAAGTGTTTTGAGCTGAAGGCTGCATGGCAGTCATATCTTGTTGTGTCTTGTACATATGTTTTCAGGACATATGTTTTCAGGGCAGAATTTCTCCTAGATAACCTATACTTTTACTACCTTTAGCATAAATTTATTATTTCCTGGATTATGTAGCTCTCACCAATAAATATTTTTAGTGAATCAATGTATTTCCTACGGCAGGTTGTTGCCAATGCCAAGGATGTAGTTGTTGGAGCCAGAGAAGCTGTAACAACCACTGTGACTGGTGCCAAGGAATCTGTTGCTCACACAATCACTGGAGTTGTGGGCAAGACTAAAGAAGCAATGCAAGACAGCTTAGAAATGACAAAGTCAGTTGTCAATGGGAGCATTAACACTGTCCTGAGAAGTCGTGTGGTGCAAATGGTGAGCAGTGGAGTGGACAGTGCTCTCACTAAATCAGAGACCCTTGTAGACCAGTATTTCCCACTTACAGAAGCAGAACTAGGTAAGACCAATTGAAGCTTTTATTTTGTTGGAATGTTTGTATTAGCGAGAAGGAAGCAATCATCCATTTGTTGCTTATGTATAGTGGGGAGGGAGCATGTGCTTCCTAAGCCGCCTTTTGCCTTTCTGGGTGTAATGACATCTTCACAGGGGAAACATAATGAAAGTAAGGATTTCCATGTAGGGTGATCTATCTTGTTGCTAAAGGACTACTCAGCAACTTCAGTATTCAGCTGTTACGACACAGATAAAATTGTCTCAGACCTCTTTAAGTTTTCCTCCAGTGATCAATTTGCTTCCTTTCAACATATGTAGAGAAAGAAGCTGCAAATGTTGAAGGTTTTGAAGTTGGAGTTCAAAAGCCAAGCTACTATGTTAGATTAGGATCTCTGTCTTCAAAACTCCGCACACGTGCCTACCAACAAGCCTTAAACAAAGTTAAAGATGCTAAACAGAAAAGCCAGGAAACAATCTCTCAGCTCCACCACACTGTTAGTCTGGTAAGTTTTGAGCTTTCACTTGATGTATAAAAAGCAAATTTTGGCATAGTTTTAGAGTGAAGAAAACAGCCGAAAGAGTAATAGGAAGACTGGAATTGCTGCCTCACACTAAATGCATTTTCTAAATACAAAGCATTTGCCATTAAGAGATTTTCATCACCATTCAGGAGATGTCCTAAATCAGGCTGAGCTGCGATTGTGCAGCTGCTTGTAACTGTAAGCACCGCAGAAATAAAAGTGACATATTTAAAATTGTATTCATGTTTTGTAGTTCTGGGTTTGACACTTGATTCAGTGACAAGTGTTTTGCAATTTAGACAGACTTCAGTTCTTTAGGTCCTTTTTGTTAAAAAAATGTCAGATTCCTTTGGGGCTTGCTGCTCTTGCTGGTTCTGTCTCTGAGCATTTCTGGGTACTTCAGTAGTCTTATCCTAACAATGTACCTTTATGTACAGGACAAACTGCACATAAAGAGTCATGGCCACCTGTACACTTTCAATTCCTTCTGTAGGATGCCAGCGGGGGAGGGAGAAATTGTTGAGGCAGAGGGGAACACTATGTAATGTCTCAAAACTGCTTCCAGTGTTCAGTTCTTTGAAGAGAAGAAACACATTCTTATACTCCCAAAGTCCTTTATCCTGAACTTCTGATGTATTTAAAAAGAAGATTATAAAACAGTCAAGGTAGAGTAGCCCTAAAGGAACTATTTGGACTCTTTGCTCTACTTCCTTATTTGGCTGTCTTTCAGATCGAGTATGCCAGAAAGAATGTGAATAGTGCCAATAAGAAACTTCTTGGTGCTCAGGAAAAGCTTTATCAATCCTGGGTAGAATGGAAGAAAAATACAGGCCAAAATGACGGTGGTGAACTGCGTAGTGCTGAGGTAAATAGATGTAAATGTACACTAGATATAAATGGATTGTATACTGTGAAGGTAATGGAAAACTAACAGTCCCTGAAGTGTGCATCAGAGAAGCTTATGTGCAAACATGAAATCGGGATGCTGAAGCTCAGGGCAGTTGACTAATGAAAAGTAGGGGACCTAAGCTCTTAAATGAGCCTACTTCCTGCAAACATTCTAGGGTTCATTCTCCTCTCATGAGAATGCTCATCCTGTTTGGTATGTGAACCTGTGTTGAGATGTCCACATGTAAATCAGCTAGAACTCACTTATCTGATGTGCCCAGACCAGAAATAACAATTTGTCAGCATAAAGCAGTCTTAGACACAAACTCAAGTAGTCCTACATATAGCTTTAAACAGTGGTTCGTTGATTAGAATATGCTTACCTGCTGTGACTTGTTATCCGGAGCTGAAACAAGAGTCTGCTTGTCTGTCACTAGGCAGAAGCCATCAATGTTTCTGTTCACAAAGTACTTGAGTGCTGAAGAGATATCAAATACTTATAAGTCTCTGACTCTTCAGACTTAACGCCCATTTTATTACCTGCTATAGCTTTATTTCACTTATATCCCCTTTACTTTGCTTCTTCATGTATCTTGAGCAACATAAAGTTGCTACAGTCATAAAAAGACACTAATATGCTGTTATACTTTTTCTTTCTAGTACATTGAGTCAAGAACTCTAGCTATTGCACAGAGCCTCACTCAGCAACTTCAGACCACTTGCCTCACACTGGTCTCAAGCCTACAGGGGCTGCCACAGAATGTGCAGGATCAGGTTTACAGTGTTGGGTCAATGGCAGGTGATGTCTACCAGAGCTTTCGGTCTGCATCCTCCTTCCAAGAATTATCAGACAGCTTTCTTACAGCTAGTAAAGGACAGCTGAAGAAAATGAAGGAGTCTCTGGATGATGTGATGGATTATCTTGTTAACAACACGCCTCTCAACTGGCTGGTAGGTCCCTTTTACCCACAATTGCCTGGCATTCAGCACGCTGAGAGCAAAGGTGAAAGGGAGAAAAATTCCAGCCAGAAAGACAAACAGCCTGAACACACTACTGAATAAACTGCATAGCATGCATGTACTCTGCTGACTGACAAAGCGAGTGACCTTACCAAGTGTAGCTGTCAAAAAAGCCTTGGTGAAAAATCCATAAATATAGGAGTAGGGGAATCTACAGAGACAGGACACTCTTACATATAAGCTGTGTATTGTCCTGTGTAGCCACTCTAAAAACTCAAACTGTCTCAAGTGCCTGAGTATTGTCAGCTTACAGTTGTCAAGATGCCTTATTTGTCTGTCGAGAAACCTCACTATGCTTATCAGTGGTATTAATACCATTAGTATAAATGAAACCTACCCTAGCTAAAAGCTTTTGTTTTGTTCTTTGATCTCTACCAGAAGGCTATAAAAGCCTTAATACTGTGAAATGCATTTAAAAGCCTTGCAGTCTAGCTAGATATGCTTTCAGTCTATGTTTGCTGCAGATCACACTTTTGATAATTATGGATCTGACTGTCTCAGACTCTATTGCTACACAATTCATGACAAAAGTTCTGTGAGCGCAGGATGCCAAAGCTGAAAGTGGGGTTTCTGAACAAGTTGGCTGGATTTAAATGCTGTGACAGTGTTAACATTAAAATAAACTTAACTATTGTTTAACACAGTAACTTGACCACAGAATCATAGAATATGTCAAGGTGGAAGGGACCCATAAGCATCAGCAAGTCCAGCTCCCTGCTCCTCGCAGGATTACCTAAAACTAAACCATATGATTAAGAGTGTCGTCCAGATGCTCTTTGAACGTTTCCTTGGGTACTCTGCTCCAGTGGTGGACCAAATAATTATCAATACATTTTTTTCATATGCAGTATAAAGGTATTCATTCATGCTGTTTGTACCCAGATGCCTGCTGTTGTATGTGTGTGTTTTTTATAGGCATCCTTTTGTAATTCATGTTGTATGTTAGTAATAAATGCTTTAGTAGCCAAAGTCTGTCTCCATTTCAGTGGTGTTTTAAAACAGAGTAACTTGCTCTTCTGTGACTCCTTCAAACCAGGTCTAGCAGAAAGCAAGCTTGACGTGCAAATGAGGTAGATGTGCATTGAAAATGTGTTTGTGTATCTATAGATAGATAAGGTTTGCTGCAGCATTTCCTTCCTCCCTTAGAGTCTGTGTGCATCCCTCCACTGAATCTTAGCTTTACTGCTGCTTTTTTTGGTCCTTGCTGTTGTCCACCTTTAATGATGATCTAAGCTGTGAGCTACTGGATGTTTTAATATTGAAAAAAGAAGGATATGCACAAAAGAACCCTCTCCTCCCTTCACAGTAGGTGTTCGGTGTGCATGAAACTGCTAGCTGTCTGTTGGCTACCTATAAACAGTGTATACTTCTCACCTGCAACACCAGTTTAAACTTGTTTAACTTTATCTAACCTCCTTTGAACTTGAGTGACAAATGTACATTAACCCTCAGCTACTTAGGTACAATTTTTCCTCAGTAAATACTGTGAATCCCTCCACTGGAAAAGAATTATTGTCACTAGGAAATAAGCTTTCTTGGTTTGGGGCTCTCCAGGTAAGTTGTATCTGTGTTCCTAGTGCATACCCTGTACACCTTTTGAGTTGCAATCATTTAGCGTAGCAATGCTGGCCACCATTTTCAAAGAGGTCACCAAATAGTGTAAAGCAAATGGAGTTCAAAGGAAGCTTATCACATAGTGGCACATTGCTGCATGGAACAATACCTCCATCTGGCACAAATTACCTGTTATCTAGCCATCTACTGTGAGAGGGATTGCTTAGCTGTTAAGTCAGGTTTGGCCTAGAAGTGTGAGGAAGACTTTTTAAGCACAATATTAAACAAATTGTAACAACATAATTAAAGAAGTGTTATCTATAATCCTCCCTGCTTTAAATATTTACTTTATATAGGGGAGCTGTTTAGCATAAAATTAACATGAGAGGATGAGATATTCTTCTCCAATTAGTGCCTGAGTTAAGACTTCTGGATTGCTTTCAGCAAATAACTTCTTTTAAAGTTTGCTTTAACTATTGCATGAGCCAGCCAGAGACTATCCTTCTTTATCTCCATCCACTGTTGTAGATGTGTTCAGCAACAGAATGGAACTAATTAGGTCTGGGAGCAGCTGGATGTTTAAAGAAGGGGATTCCCATTCTTCTATACATTTTAAAATCTAAGTGCTCTGGGACTTCATCTTGAGGTGATCAATCAAATAAAATACTGAAACTTTTCACTGTTTTTTTTTTAAGGATTGAGAAATAAACAGCATCATCTGCTATTAGTGAACAAGCAGTACATCTCTCTATTCAACCTTAAGTTGTGCTACTGGTTCGTACCATTACATGGCTGTCCAGCTTTACTAAGCCTCAGCAAGCAGTTGAAATAGAAAGCAAGGGAAACTGATACCAGCCTAGACCTTCAAAGCACTTCTCCCTCACCATGCACTATTAGGTTGCTTCTGTGTGAAGTTCATTGACTTCTGACAGCTGACCTACAACTGGTGGCTGCAAACAGCAGTGCCTGGTTAAATGCTGGGCTTATAGCCTGTTAGACTGAAATGCTCTGTGTAGGTTTCTGTGCTGTGCTATTGTGATAAGTGGTTGTTTTGTTTGATGCTGCCCAGCCACCGAGTGCTTTAAGTTTTATCCACCCCCCATTCCCCAAATAGAATTAGGAACCCTTCCCTAGTGGACGAAAGTACTGACTAACAGCAAATAAGTATATTCTTGATTTGTTATATAGAATAAAATTCTCTGGATTGAGATTATTATACTCTGCTAATACAGACGGCACTGAATGTTTAAATTGAATTGCAGCTGGAGCTTGTGTGGGTATCTTCTTGTAGGTAATTTAGCATAGCATATCCCCACACTCTAACTGCAGCTGTACAGACAGAACTTATTATCTGTAGTGCAGCAAGAGAGAGCAACTATTAAAATGCCCACTGGAGGCAAGAATGATGCAGACACCTTCCAAAGTCATCTTTCTCTTTTTGCCGCTGTTGTTTTTGACTGAAGCTGAGGTGCTTCCTCTCAAATAAAGGAGGGAAACCAGAGCAGAGTTTGCTCATGAATTTTCTTGCCATCTTACCTGTTTCTCTGTAATTGCATGTGTCAAACAATTCAAGTGCACTGCACAGAAACTTGCTTGCTCTTAGTCCAAAATCACTTTTGAGGATATAGCTTGAGCTAGAAAGTTGTGAAGTTTCTCTGAGCTGTGAAGTTACCTTCTAAAAAAGGTAAGACCATATGTGTTGAAAATGATAGGAAATAGGTTTAACTATTTGCAGCAAGGCAGATAAACTAGATGAAATGGAAGCCTGTCAAAGGCTGATAGCCATACATAACCTGGGAAGATAAAGGTTAAAATAGTAACATAATTACCTAGGCTATTTAGCATTTATTTAGAATTCAGATACTGTTTCTCTTTAAGAGATCACTCAAAAATTGTTCATGCCAATTGACACTTCGTCTTTTTAGGTGAATCAACAGAGAACTATTATTCTTTCATTGCAAATAATCCTTTTCTACAAGAGCTCTAAATATAAGCATTTGTAAATAACTCCATATGGTATGCAAGCTTTGCAAACGTCATATTTATAGCATTGGCCAAAGCCAAATTACAAGATTTATGTAAGAACTGGAGTTGCAGCTGGTTTGCCTCAAACTAAAGAAAGGTGGAAAACTTTTGAAATGTCATCTATTCTTCAAGATTAATTTTTTTGCATTAATATTTTCTGGAATTCAAGTTAGAATAATATTTTATAGCTAATAAAATAGGTGAAAGGATTTGGGAACAATTGATGAATTATTTTTGTTATTTAAAAAAAAAAGCATAACTACCAAGGAGAAACTTATTTAAACCATCTAATTAAAAAGAGGAAACAGAACTAAACATTTTAAGCATGATCTGTTAGTAATTTGCACGATCAGAAAGTTTTACATGCAACAACTTGCTGGAGGTATTGCATAGTGTTTTGTTAAATTTATTTGTGTTAGTATTAAGGTGGCAATTTCACTTCTTTTGGATAATACAGTCTCTGATGACTAAAAATAGGCGCTTTGTTTTGAAAATGCACAAAACCAGAGCGAACTGTGGCTCAGTTCTGAAAACATATTTAGCAAGAAAACATTGATCAAAGTTGTTAGTATTGACATTAATGTTTGTATATGAAGACAGCAAAACACTGAAGTATGTTCTGTACTATTCCATGTAAGGTTTTTGCAAGTTTTGCACTTTTCTATGTAAATGATTTAACTGCATCTTGTGGAGAAATAGCATGAAGAAGGGTTGTATCTTATGCTTCTTGCAAGAATTGATAGAAAGTTGAAACAAAGCAGTAAGTCAACTGTGAAAAGTGGTATGGAAGTGAAGGTCCTTTACCTAAGCAATCCCATAATGCTAAGAGCTTTGCATTGATTTAGTTAGACTGGTGCAGATATTAGAATGTGCAATTGTAATACAATTTAGCATGTTCAAAACTGAGATAAATCATACTGACATCCACTCTGTTTTACTCTGATGCTGACATACACTTCAATTTGAAATTCTTTCATGGCTGTGAAAATCTTACTGGTACATTAAAGGAGTCAGGTGCTTTTACTGCATGCATTAAGGAGATGAGGAAAGCGCAAACTTAAATTTCAGTGATTATTCTGTTATCAGTAAGAACAACGCGGATATAAGTAAAAGCCTCTTAAATGTAGGATATAGTGAAAATTTTCACTGATCAGACACAGGTGGTTATGTGTCCTGCTCAGCGTAAATAAAGAATAAACCAACTAATTTAAACAATTCCTTCAGGCACATTTTTAAAGGGTTTTGTATATGGACTACTTAGCCTTAGTCTTGTTAAGATACCCTGATTTATACTACAGTATGGAATACAGGGTCATATACTGATAGTGGGAAAACTTGTTGATTTCTCTAAGTTGAGTAATTAGAGTTTTAGGTAAATTGCCATAAGCAGAAAGATGCGAGATAATTGTTCCTGGTAGAAAGATGTGTTTCCCTCATTCTTAGTGCCTTTTGATTTTGATTTTATTGAGGCAAAAATTACAGATCTCATTTTGATCAAGTTTAGGTTGTCAACAGTAGTGCCTGAAAAGTCACACACTGCTTAAGTTCTTCTAAAACTCAGTTTTAATTAATAATTAATATTTCTAAGTCCCTGGTGCCCTATGACTTACCAACTCCGTAAGAAACTGAGTGATTCGCATGCAGTGATTCCGTGCTGTGTACAGCCTGGTAGCTGAAACAGTAATCCCCTTATAATTTGACATATTCTCTGCCCTTCTCACATGTCTTCAAAGCAGGCACAGCATAGCTTTTTTCTTGCCTACTGTCTTTCATAAAAGTAAGTCATAAGGTGTTTTGCAGTTAGGGAATGGATTAAAACTGCTTCTCCAGTCAGCACTGAGATCAAGTTACAGAAATGCATAGAAACCTGCAAATTGTTGCTGCTTTGAACATGCAGAACCAAAGTCCTTTCAGCATGCAACAGTTGTTATTTGCTGAAACTGTATCTGGCTCCAAGTATGTCTCATCACCAACATTAAAACTAACTACTAATCAAACTACAGATGTAAGCATTTTTCACTTGATGTAAAAAACTTACGGTTATGAGTAAATTGCTTAATTATATCCCCTTTTTCAGAAGTGCCTGAGTAATCTAAGTCTTACTAAGGGGACTTAAGGGTTGGGACTTAAGCTCCTAAGTGTCTTAGCCAACATTTTTAGAAGTCTGTAACATCCATGTATCCACTAATGTCTCTGGCAATTCTGAAACCTGGTGCTGCTTAACAGTACAGAATACTACACATGTAGTTAAAACAGAGACAAAAGTGAGATTGCAGTTCCAAGTATTTGTTTCCTCAGGAAAGGTTTAATTCAGTAGGCAGGCAGGGTAGTACAGAGCAATCCGTATCAATCTCCTCAGGGCAGATTACTGAATATAGTCCATTGCCTTTATGGAAAGAAGAAAGGCAAAATAATTTTATAAACCTCCTTTCTTAATTTTCCAGTCACCACTTTTACCAGTTTCACCAAATTCAGTCCACTGAGTTCAGCTCTATTCCATCTCTAATGTAAGGGTCAAAACCGCACAGCTACCCCCAAAATACCAGGCAGTGGAAGGATTTAGGAGAATTTATTTTCAGAGTCAAGAACACTTAACATATCAGCACAAAACTGCACCAGGCCTAGGAAAAGATATGCCTGCTGTTCTCGGGACTTTTATCGTCTCAGGCCCTACCGGGCTTCAAACATGTCCGTAAGAACTTATCTTTTCTCATGCCAGGGAGAGCTTCTCTGGAATGCAAGAAGAGAAAATATCTAAAACTGTCTCTGGCCAAAGAGGAAAGCTTTCTTAAGTGAAAATCCCTAATCTCCTCACAGTAAAATCTTCCAGAAGGGCCTTCTACACTTACATCTACTATAAAATCCTGTTTTCTAAGCAACTGATCTGCATCTTGCAGTGTTTGGTCTGTCTTAATGCTATGTGTTTCATATGTGACTGAGCATATTTTACTCTGTATTCAGTATATTGGGTCTGATTTCTAGAGATGCTATGCATCTTTGTGTCATGACTTCAGAGAGGAGTACTGCACAAATTTGTTTAGTTTTACTTTTAAATTGATTGAAATTTCATTCCAACACAGGTTCCAGATTTCACTATTACAGACCTGTCTTCAGAGTCAGATGATATCCCAGACATTTTGGATTTGGATGAAGAGGATCAACAAGACTTTTCACGCACAAATGGCCCTTACACTACAGGGCAAAGAGCTGAATAGAGAAGGATAAAAATGTATTTTGATACAATGTACCTTTGCCATGTTTAATTTAGATTTCTCCTTTTTAAAGGTGAACCTGCCTAGTTTAGGGATTATGGGGATATTTTTTTAAAAATCACTACCGTTTCATTTAGCTGCATCAAAAATCTGGGTTTTTTTTCTACATAAGGAATGCACACTACATTAATTCATTAGCATGGGTGTCAAGCTCCCATTCTATAAGCCAGGTATAGCCTAACCAGTGTATCCAACTGATCTGATCTTTGTTAATGATTTGTTCTCCTGCTGGTAGCAGCCATGAGAACACCCCAGTGCTTTGCATAAAGGGCTGCCAACAAAAGGAGTTGATGAGGATTTGCCCACAAAATTTCCCCTTTCAGTCTACGTGAAAAGCAGTTCTGCATCTACCTCTTTGCTGCTGGAAGGGGTAAGAGACTTTGTCTATCTCAGATTTTCTCAAGTTCTTTTTGTTAGGCTCTGCACCTACAGAGCTTAGAAGCTTAGAGCTTTCCTTTGGCAAGAGTGCTTTATGCACAGAAGGACTCCCTTTCTCTCCACATACCTTCTGTGTGCAAATATTTTGGCCATTGTGATGCTATCAGTTGTGGCTGAACCCTAAGACTAGAACAGGGTAAATGCTTAAAAATTAAAGTTTTCCAGGAATAAGGGTAGCAGTTAGCAAAGGTAAGAGACTGTAAGAAGTGAGGGAAAATGGAGGACAAAGAGACACAGATGTGGGACAAAAGAAAATGAAAAAAAAAAAAGAGGGAACTGAACGTGAGGATACTTCTGGTAACAGTGTGGGGTTTTTTTTCTGTTTAAATAAAATGTCAGTTATTTTTTGAGGTATGTTGAGGCCGCGTTTGCTCGCACACAGTAAGTTCTGTAGGAGTTGGGGAGAGTGAGAACGGGGCTGAAGGCGGGCTTGTTAACATTTGTTTTTAAGGACCAGATCGAGCTGCTCCGCCAGGGCGATGCAGCCCGTCGGGAGCCGTGTTACGGCGCTGATCCGTCCAGCGCCGCTCGCACCGCATCGCCCTACTGCGCGGCACCCTGGGAGACTCTGCTTGTGAGCACTTGCAAGTCTAGTCACTGAAATGCCTTGGAATAAAAGTTTGAACCGCACAGCCTGCTTGCCAGTGTGGGGTTGTTTTTTTTTTTCAGTTTGTTTGTTTGTTCCGTGCTAAATTTCGCCGTCCGATCACAAACCCATTTCAACGGGAAGGGCCCACTGGCGGATTCCTCGGCGCCCGGACTACACCTCCCGTGAGGCAGCGCGGCCGCCCCGCCTCGCTTTGGGGAGAGCGGTCTCGCGAGGGTGGGGGTGTGGCGCGGGCGAGCGGATACGGGGCTGTTCTTGGCGGGCTGCGGCGCGAGACGCGGGTGCCCGCGCGGTTCGAGCGCCCGGGGCAGCCATGGCCGCCATCTGGGAGAAGAATCACTTCTGGCTCTACTTGCTGGCCCTGGGCTTCGACCCGGACGAATGCCCCGAGGACGTGAACGTGGGACGGTCAGTGCGAGGGAGCGCCGGGGAAGGGCTAGGCGGGGGCGGGGGGGAGGGCAGCTCTTTCACCCGGGAGCCCTCGGCTGGAGCGGGGCGGGGGCGTTTCGCCGTAGCCACCGGGGATCCCGGTGCCCCTGGCAATATGTAACGCAGAGTAAAAGCCCGCAGTGCCACTGCGGTCCGTGTTACCTCTGTCCGAAGAAATGAACCCCAGGAATGATAAGAGCTGCTCCTCCGCACAGTCCCGTAGGGAAGGCGAGGCGAGCGGCTCCGTAGCGCGTTTTCAAAACTGGCCTTGAAAGACAACGCTCTCACTGGAATTATGTCATAGAATAATAGCACGTCAAGGAGTTGGAAGATCACCCCCTCCCTCACGGACGGGGGGACACCTCCCAGTAGACCAGGTTGTTCAAGGCTTGAACACCGCCGGGGATGGGGCATCCACAGCCTCCCTGGGCCACCTGCTCCTGTGCCTCACCACCCACACAATAAAGAATTTCTTTCTAATATTGTACCTACCTTTCCTCTCTTTCAAGTTTTACGCATTACTCCTTGTCCTGCCACTGCAGTTCCTTATGAAGAGTCCCTCTCTGGCTTCCCCATAGGACCTCTCCAGATACTGGAAGGTTGCTGGGAGGTCTCCACAGAACCTCCTCTTCTCCAGGCTGAACAGCCCAACTCTCTCTGCTTTCATAGGGGAAGTGCTCCAGTTCCCTTATCAATTTCATGGCCCTAGTCTGGACTTGTTCCAGCAGTTCCGTGTCCTTCTTGTGTTGGGGGCAGCAGAATTGAATGCAGTACTCCAGATGGAGTCTCAGAAGAGCAAAGGGGGAGAATCACCTCCTTCGACTTGCTGGCCATGCTTTTGATGCAGCCCTGGATTTCACCTGTGTTAAATAGGCTGGACGATGTATACTTTTACACACAAGTAACAAAGTATTCAATGTATAATTTGTAATGCTTTAATATAACCTAATGTTTTGTAATCTTTAGTGGCCAGTAAAAATGCTCTATTAATTTGTCACCATAACTACTTGTGATGGGGCTGTTTATTTGTGTATTAGGAACATGTTTGATAAACCAAACCCCAAAGCGTTTGCTGTTGTTGCCCTCTTCTTGTTTACTAAGCTGGATAAGGACCGCGCACAAGAAACTTTTCGGTAAGTGTTTGGCTTGTGAGGTTATTTACTGCTCTACCCTTAATTAAGAATATGTTTATACAGTTGCTGGAGGGAGGGAAGTGGTCACTTGGGGAATACTGTGGAAGAAGAGCATACAGTCAGAATATTTGTTTCCTTTTCATCACTACTCTGTATCACAACTTTGGCATAATTAAAGTTGTGTCTGATAGTATCTATAGCTTGGTGACTTTGATATAAACTTAATAGCTGCAAAGTAATCTATCTTTTCCATTCATCTTGCCGACCAAACAGAGAGTAACATTTCCCATTTATGAATTGCTGCCAGGATCTTCAGCATGGGAAGAACCCTATGTTCATTAAATGGTTTTCCTCTTATAGCTGAGCTGTTTTAGCTTATGCATCTGAAGACATGGCAGGAGGAAGACTAGTGATATGGAAATGGTCAGAGTTATGACCCCTTTTTTGTTCTTCTTCCCTTATCCTAAGTTAGAAAGAGCTGCAGACAAATCTGTCTCTGAAAGAGTCTGTAGTTAACTTATGGAAAGAAAACATTGTCATTTAACAAACTTTTAGCTATTCTTGGTCTAGGATATATGTCCCTCATTTGCTGGCTCCTCCAGTAGGCATAAAAAGAAATCTTTGTCTTAGTCTTGTTTTTATAATGGTAAATTAGGTATCTGGATATTTGAACATGTTTTGAATTTTTTTTCTTTTTTTTCCCTCATCTTTTTTAAATGGAAAGAAATTATGTGTTGGGAATGGATGCCGATCTTCAATTTAGGAAGCACTGCTGTGACTGGCTAAGAGAAATTTCAGTAAGTATCATGAAGAGTGGAAGTTGATGCTGTACTGGTTTCTGTGACCTCATTTTTTTTTTAGAAAACTCCTTTAAATCAGAGTTTTAAATAAGGACTTTTATCAAAGAATTCAGTTTTACCATGTGTATTCTTTCACATAGTTTATTTTGGCCCTCTTTGAAGAAATGATTGTGGCATTGTGGAATTTAGATGACAGGGACCTAATCTTAGGTCTTAAAACTGCTGTGGCTTGCTTCTGGGTAATGGTATTTAATTAAACATAAGTCTAGAGAGTTCCTTAGCTCTGGGTGAGAATAACTTCCTTCAGTTTGAGAGGTGTTTGTTTAAGTTGCCTTAAGTTGCCTGTGTTTATTATTGTGAAAGCTGTTTCACATGCATGAAAAACTTTAATATTAGTCTTTTCTTGTATATAGGAAAAGGGACTAAAATTTAAGGCAAGCTTTTTAAAAAGATAAATCAAAATTGATTGCTTCAGATATCATTGGTTATTATGTTACCTTGTTATGCTGCCTTTGTTTTAATAATTGTTCTAGAAATGACATCTTGACATCTTTATATACTGCAAAACTTTCGATTTTTTAGTAATAATGGACAAAGTGTAAGCCAACAATGCAGTATCTTTGAATATGGTAAAACTGCATTAATTAATTACTTAAGTGGAAAATACGAAAGAAAACTTTAATGTGTTTTCAAAGATAGGGATTACCAATTAGGAGGGCAGCGATTTCTCACATTTATCCAACACTAATTTCAGTCTTTGCATTGAAGCTGTCTTGTGTACAGAGCTAGGGGTGGTGGTAGGAATTTTGAAAAAAGCTTTGTTCTCTTCTGCTGACTAGAGAAAGTGTCAGCTGCGGTAGCAAAGTCATTTAGCTTTGCATCAAGCTTGCTAGCAAGTAGTCTGTAGTGTTTTGGTACTCAGCTACGTGTTTGATAGCTGTTGTTTATGCTTTATTTCTTAGATTACGTCTGTGTTTAAAACAATTTAACTTTTCTAGAGTCAAGGGAAAATCGGTCTTCCAAAGATTACACCTTCATCACTTCTTTCTCCTGCTGGTGCTAAATTTGTTCGCTTCGTCTACTGGTTTGCAAGATATGTAATGATTGAGGACATGAAAAAGTTCTCTGCAGGTAAGTTGTAATGGAACAATAAAAATGCTTTGTTTGTTATGTTTGTACATCTGTCAGGTCTTTAATGTATGACAAGAGCTGTAAGTAGTTCTGAGTTGGCTGCTCAGTTCAGTCTTTCACAGTGTCCTGTGCACTTGTATAGAGCTACTGCTGATAGAACAATGCTAATTGTTTTGCTCTCTGTTGCTTTATGGGTCTTGTTCCAAGGCTCATCTATGCAATGCTCTACACCATTGGCTACACAAGCAGTGATTTGGTCCAAAAGTATTGGCTCACTATATCATATTCTTCCTCAGAACTTGATGAATTCTGAAGCATCAGAACTGTCTGTTCTAGGCATCTTGTATTGTTTTGATAACCTAAAGAAAAAAGAAAGAGAGTGAGGGATTCAAGATATATACAACAGAAAAAAAATGGCAAAAAAGGCAGTACATTGCATGCTCTATTTCAGTCCAGGTAAAATGGGCATCTTGATTTGTGATCATTTCAGTTGAAACTAGGTAGATTAGGAAGCTATCCATTTGCTAAAAGTGAATGATGTCATCCAAACATTAACTTGTGTTTAGGCACTTGTATACCTTTTGCTGAAGCTGTAATGTTGAGACCTGAGGACATGTACATTGCAAAAGCAAGACATAGAGTTGGATACAATAAAATGCTGCAAATTCTTCAAAAGGAAGACATTGTTATTCAAGAATATGGGAAAAAAGCACAGTAAGTAATGCATTTAAAGAAATTGAGTCTTTTCATAAAAGCTGACTTATGCGTGTGTGTTTTTGAAGGGATTTGAGGAGGCTACATCTGCTTTACCTCATGAGTTCTCCCATATTTTCCCCCTTTACGTCTTTTAATTGACAGTTCTACTGTTTGTAGATCTTTTGTGAAGCATAGTAGTCTAAAGAAATTAGTTCTTCATTTAGGAGATGCTGTATTTTGGAAGATATGATTAGTAGGGCATTAAAATGATCAGGGAATTCTGCATGTATAGCACACTATGATTTCTTAACTTTTGAAGGGTCATATATTTAAAATATAACTGTCTCAGGATGAAACGTTTGGCTTTGCTTAGTAATTGTGAGACACATTTTGTTTACAGGAACCTTAATTATTTCACCAAAAGTATGCTATTCGTTACTCTTTTTTATGGAAGACCTGGAACTTTCTGTGCAGGCACAGAGTTACGTATCAATGGAATTTAAAGGATTGGTGTGGGATAGTTTGTGACTGGAGCACTGTCATGGGCAGTTGTGAGCTGTTCAGTTAATGGCAGCAAAGGGCGATGAGTTGCACTATAGGTAAAAGAGCAGTGACAGTGCATGTAGCATAGCTCCATACAAAAGGACTAATCAGGTTTCATGGCTTTGGATCAAGATCTGAGGGTTTAGCATCCAGGGAGACCTCATGGTGGATGTCAGCTGGCCTTGATTCTTACAGACAACTTCAGCTCACCCTGGTATTTGCTGAGAAAGCATTTCAGTGATGCATTAGCAATGTGGGAAGTGGGAGTGCCTAGAGGATGACTTTGTAATGCAATCACAGTGTTCCATATAGGATTGGTGCTCTTTTGAACTCACTGCATATAAGTAAGAGAAACTTCTCTGGAGACATTACAGGACTTTTATGGTCACTGTAGCTAAGACTGTAGAACTTAAGATCCTAAGGAATGTGAGGAAATTGAGTGGAAAACTAATAACAATGGATTTATAATTTGAGTGAATTTTCACTAGCCCAGGAAACTGCTAGGAGGCATCTTGTGGAAAGCAGAAAGGCTCAAGAGTGATATTTTCAGAGATCCTTGATGAAGCTTACGTGTGGTCCATCACCTTAAGTGGAAAAAGAAGCAGGGGTAACAAAGAACCAACCAGATTAGGGCAGTGAGCCTGTGATAGAGTTCACAAACCAGAGTAGCAGGATATGGAATATAGAAAAGGGAACTGACTCCCAGACATGAATACAGAAGTATTTCTCAGGTGTGCAGTGAGGTACCTATGAGAGTCAAAGTTCACCTAAAGCTTCAAGAACCTGATAAAAGCCTGGAAAAAGAATCATGTAGGTATGTTGTTAGGAAGTGGAAGTATATGGTGGATTTAGGTCTACCTCTGAATGAAATGGTAAGTTTAAAGTTTCACAGGCTAAAATACTGTGTGCTTTGCCTCAGTGTGCATGGCTTAGGTCAGTAGCCCAGCCGCTGTGCCAAGAAGCAATGTTGAAAGAAGCAACGACACACTGATAGTAGAAGAGGGTACAGTGGAGGTTTCACTGCTACCTGATGGAATGCATCGAAGCATGCAGGGATACTTACCTGGCATCATTTCAGAACAGCTAAAGGGGTGAGCCCAAAGGGTGATAGTGCCTCAAAGTCGTAACTGGTGTAGCTGTCCATGAGTGGAGTTCTTCTGTGGCTGATACTGTGTCTTCCTAAGGGATATGAATGACAAGATTGAATGCAAACTGGCCAAACTTGCAGAAGGTGCCAAACTGTGAGGAAAGGAGATACATTGCAATGAGGAGGCATTACACAGAGAGACTTTGCTGTGTTGGTAGACCTGCACAAAAAAAATTGTGTGAGATTTAACAGAGACTAGTGTGAGGTCCTGCACCTGGGATGAAGTAGTTCCCAACAGCAGCACAGGATTGTGGATGATTGTCTGGGGAGTAGCTCTGCTAAGAAGAACCAGAGGTGAGAGTAGTATGAGGCCATAAGCTGAGTATGAGTCAGCAGAGTGCCCTGGTTAGCCAAGGAGATCAGCAGTGTGCTATGCTGTATGGAAAAGAGCACTGGTCAGGGTGTGGTGAGCAATTGTATTGAGCATCACTTGTTTTTCTTGTTTAATTCCTCTCTCTCTTTCTGCTTTACATCTCTGTTGTTACAATATTTTACTTTATTTCAGTTGTTAAACTGTTCTTAGCTCACAAATTTTACCATTTTTCAGATGCTCCCTATCCTGCTGGGGCTGGGGAAGCGGGGAGGGAGTGAGCAGCTGTGTGGTACTTAGTTGCTGGCTGGGGTTGGCAATTCTAATGCCACACCTGGAATACTATGTTGAGTTTTGATTGCCCAATTGAGGGAAGAGTGAAAGGTGGGAGAGATACTAGCAGAGGACCACAGTGTTTAGAGGGTTGGAGAACTTGACACATGAGTAAAAGCTGCAGAAGCTGGGTTTGTTTAGCCTGAAAAAGGCAATGCTCAGGGAGTGTAATCACAGTTTCAGTATCTAAAAGGTAGTTGTAAAGAAGATGGAGGTACTCTCTTAACAAGGATGTACGGTAACAGGCACAAGGTATGTGGGGGAAAACTCTATCTGGATTTAAAAAAAGTCTCATATGAGAACAATTAAACACTGAAAAAGGTTGCACAGAGAAATGGAATCTCCATTCCTGGAAATATTCAAGACTTGGTTTGACAAGACTATGTGTAACATAACTAAAGGCTCTGCTTTCAATGGAAGGCTCAGCAATACAATTTCCAGAGGTCAAACTCTCATGAACTTCTCTGATTTCTATAATTCTGTATCTCCTGTGACCCCACTTGGGAAACATTACTGCTGTTGCATAATGATACCCTTCAAAAATGCAGTTCTCTATAGTTTTTTCATTCTTGACAAGGGATCATAACTGTGAAGATCCTTGCAAATTCAGCATGATTAGGCACCCAGTGTTTCTGAAAATCAGACCACTATGTTTTTACATGCTTAAAAAGTCAATAAAAGCGCTTCAGCAAAAGAACTTAAGTGGTCCAGCTGCTTGTACTCCCATATTCTGTTCTCTGGTCTTGAAACTGAGGTATGTGGTACAATTGATGAATATGTTTGGATGTTTATGTTGATAATGTACATTTCTAGTAACTTCATTATCATTGTTGGGTATAACAGAAACCATTCTATTGAGACAGCTTGGTTGCTTAATTTATATATATCTTAGTGGCTTTCTTGACACTAATTCTACATGAAGTCATGGTAAGGAAGTTTTATTAACCTTTTTTTTTTTTTTAACATTATTCCACAACTGTTTCAATATGCAGATTTTGAAAGAATGAGCAAGATTAGTTAGTGGCTGCAAGTAATTCTGATAAACCTGTAGTAACTGTTAATTTTTTTCCTAGGGTTTTGATTAAAGAAATAGAAGAGACAAAGTCTGAATATGCAGTCATGCAGATACAGTCTTCGAGGTAAGTGTTTTTCCTTGTATGTTAGGATATATAAAATTGTTTACTTGCTCGGTTTTGTGAAATAGGAACTGTAATTTCATTACGGTCTACTTGAACTTTTGTTTTGCATGTGCATATAGGATGAAACAAAATGACCGAAACAAAAGTGACACAGTTGAGAGAATTGAAAAGGTGAGGATTTTGTTTCTGCTGTGGCAGTATATTGTATTTCTTCTAACATTTCTGCAACACTTGCTCTCAGATGCTTTTATTTCCCCTTGTCTACCTCTGATTATGCTGGCCCCTTCATCTGCCTTTACGCTGTTTTGATACTCTGTCATTATAGATATTATGGCAAACATTTTAGCATAGTGTTTTTGTCTTGCCCATTAAGGTCCGCAGTATGTGGACACTTATAATGGAAATGCTTACATCTCTGAAAAAGGATAAGGAAGTTGTGGATTCTGTACTTGAAAATTGTGTGCATCAGTGTATTTTAGATGGAACTGATGTTGTTTTGAGAGTTCCAAGGTTGCTGGCTCACAGAATTCAAAGTGATGAAGTAAGTAGTTTTTGTCCTTCTTGCTAAATTGCTAAACTGCTTTTTTTTTTTAGTCCCCAGGGGTGCAGTTAGATACCTTAAAAAATAAATACTTCATGGATTATAAGAGATGATTGCTAAAGGATGCATAAAATACGTAGTCTGTATGCAAAATGTTAGGATTATAATGCTCTTTTGTATTTGTTACGTTTAATCCATTAACTTTTTTGGTTCAGTAGCTACATTGATAAGTCTGCCTGGTTAGTACTTGACTTTTTTGTTGCTTAGACATTAAAACTAGGTTGACTGGTTTAACTATTGCTTTAACTTTCGCTTTTGTTTCCAATGTGTAGTATATGGTGTTGTTTAGTTACGTCATTGGTGTTGTTTGTGTCACAGCTTTTGGGATAGTGGTTAAACGGAATACCTCATTGGTTGAAGTTTTCTTGGTTCATATTGGTTTAATCTAGAATGCATTATTTGACAAATGAAACAATCAGGAACTGAATCAAAGTATATAGTGTCCCTGCTCTTACTGCAGAAGACATAACTTTTTGATATGGGACTGTTCATTAATTTTTTTTTCTTGCTTGCTAAACTTCAAGAGTTTTACAGAAAATGTATATGAAGATGGAAAATTGAAGTTCTTAGCAGTCATTCAGGTGTTAAATGAAGCCTTGAGGATGTTGAGAAATGCACACTGTCAGTCTGAATTAAAAGAACTTCACAGGATTGAGAACATGGTTAAATCTTGCAATAAATTATTACAGGATTTGAACACAAAGAGGTAATTGTTGGCAAATTTTCTCTGGTCCCTTGTTCTTAAATCTTAGGATCATGTCTAACTGCCATGGAGACTTTTCTAGAAAAATGTTACTTATAGGAAAGACATTTGGTTGAGTCATTTTCCTTTGCCTCTGGGAAATTAACGTTTGTCTTGATTATTTATATAAGTTTTAATTGAGACTCTTCTGTAAGTAACTTCAGCTTTCTGTCTTGGCTTCATTAATATTCTAGGCTTTGTTCCTGGGAACCTCATTTGCTAGCTGATCTGATTTTTACTTTTTTTTTCTTGTTATGTTAATAGATTCTGAGATTTTTAAAACTTCTACCTGAACCTAGCTTAAGGAAGTTTAAAGAGTGTATTTCATTTATGTATGTATTTAAATATAGTTCTTCTAATTCTGGTGCAAGAACATAAGGATACCTAACAGCCACTTTTTTGGTTGTTGTGCTGGTTTAAAGGTAAACTGGCAGGAGAAATGAACCCAACTCAAAAGAGATTATAAATACAATTATACGGACAAACAATTGGTTTTAACCCACAAAACCCAGATGTATAACCCAGCACTCTGGGGCACAAACAGAATGGTGTTTGTTGGCCCCTGTACTGAGCCCCACGTGGTCCCCCTGAGTCCAAAGTAAGAGGGGAGAAAAACCTGTTGGTGAGAGTGCTGGTCGCAGTCCGGTCAAGGGTGGTGGTCACAGTCTGGTCGAGGTTCTGGTCCTCCTCTGGATCCAACGAGTAGGGCCCAGAAATCCCACAACCCCAAGATGATATACACTCAGGTTTGAGTGGGAATGCCCAGTACCTCCCCCAGGGCGGGGAGTTCCATAGTAGGTGACTGTGAGTTGTGAGGTATTTTTGGAATCCTTGATGGCCCATTAGCAGACGTGACCCCTCAGGCTGGGTGTGGAGATGCTAATAACTCCCTGGAGGGAGTTATCACACCTGAGTCATTGGTGTGAGGATAGGAACATCCTCCTATCTCACAGGCTTCTTAACACCCAGCTTATAGCCTGAGGGGTCAGGTGTGCTCTGGGCAGCTGCTGCAAATGGTCTATTGTTAACAGTTCCTGGGAAATGACATAGAGGGTGTAGAATACACAGTTTGGGTTGCACCCACACAGTGATGAACTGCTCTTGGCTGCTCTAACTAGGACGGTTGGGAATTTCAGTTAGTTCTTAGTACAGGCACAAATGCATGAATAAGTTTGTACATATCACAGGTTTGGCAGAATAAGGAGAACACATAATACTGTACATCTTTATGCAGAATTGTTATCTCCACAAACAGATGTGTTACCATTTTCTGTACTTATATGTTACAGGCTAGAAAGAGAGCAACAACATTGTGTGTCAGTGTGTGAATCTATTTCTAGAAAAGAGGAAGACTGGGAAATGAAGTGGAAAACATTTCTTGGCCATTATCCTTTCAATTCAATCTTTAAAGAGGATCTAGTAAGTAGTGTTCAGTTTATCTGATTCTGGGGAAGAGAAGGTGAGGGAGGATGTAGATTTACACTTAAGCTTTATATGTGAGGCTGGGGGAATTACATAGTGCAGAATAGCTGATTATGCTTTATGAAGTCTTTCTAAAAGAGAATACATTTGACTTTATGACAGCTGGTGTCTTCACTTGAGATGGGGGAATGGAACCATCTTGTCAAGATAGTAGATCAGTGTAAGAGTGAATTAATTGGTTTTGGTTTTGTCTCTGTTCACCCCCCTGTGGAAGTTGAGCATTTGTGTGCTCTCAGTCCGAGTTCTGTTTTTTCCTTTTAGAGTGATGTGCTTGATGAATGAACAATAATTTCCATTCTGACACTCAAAGATTATACCCTTACCTAGCTACCCAGCAGAGAGAGAAGCTTCATGTTGAGTCTGACAGCTGATTTGCAGAAAAGCTGTTGTAAATAACTGTCTGTTAATTGCTGTTGATAAGCAGATTTTTTCAGCCTTGTGTAACTTTTTCCTTCATTTTGAAAGGAACCTAGTTCAACAGCTTCACCACCCCAATCTCCTAGTCTTCCAGAAGAAGGTAAAGACAGCGACCTTCATCAATATCTAGCATCAATTTCAGGTGGGTGACCAGGAGAAGCTTCTTTTTCTTCTCCCCCACTGCCACAATTGTTAAAAGTTACTTGGAGTCAAAAAAGCTCCCTGCCTGTGTTTGCAGATATTCTATAATAGTCTCTGGTAATCTGGTTCTGAATGACTCTTTGTCACAATTTTTCAGCCTTGTCCTATCTGGGAGATCCTCTGAAGTTTGGCAAAAACCCAATGCTGAGCTGTTTGATATTTTGTTGTTCTTGTACAAATGATGTTGAGACAGATTTATGTGTACAAAGGTTCATGAGTTCTAGGAAATACATTCAGTAAAGATATTGGGTTGACGGAGTAGTAAGAAAGAGAGAAAGAAGATAAAACTTCCCCACTGGTCACATAGGAAAAGAAATTGAAGGTGTCCTCGCAGGTAACTATCTTTCCCTGATGCCTTCTGAAATACTTAATTCCATAGTAACTGTGCCATTTGATTAGGACCTTACTTGATGCTTCTAGTCATTAGGTTACCAGTGTTGATCAAAGCTCACTTTGATCATGGTTGTTGTACATGCTAATAAGCTGATAGGCTGATTATATTTTACTGGGTAATGCTTATTGACAAAGTGCTGATGTCCCTATTATGGAGTTAGAAGCTACAAAGCAAGGCGGAAGACTGCTTGAGTCGTGTCACTTGTAGTCCCTCTTAGGAAAAATGGCATAGCAGAGGTGTATTGGAATTTCAAGATGCAAAACAATAGCAAGAAGATCCTTTTGGTTACAAAGGTGAAAGTGCTTCTCCAGCAGTCTGAGGATACATGGGTATAAGGCTAGAAGCTGCAAAGCAAAGGGCACAGATTTGCAAATGGAAGGAAGGTAGTTTGCCTTAAAAATTTTGAAGATTGTGCAATGATGCTGTGAGCTGGTAATATCCAAAAGCTTGAAACAGACTGTGTCTGTGACATTCTCTCTACTCTGTGGTTAAGATGCTTGATTGGAGAATCCAGCCATTAAGAAAACTTAACTTTCTGCCTGTTGATATAGTAAGCTCTAAAAATTAACCTCACCTAACTACCTGAACTGAGCTTGGATTTTGGATGTGTTGTTGAGGTGAATGCAACAGGAAATGCCATTTGTCTTTGCAGAAGCTGAAATTTAGGGTTAGTAGAGAACTAGTGAGGTTAAACTTCAGCTTTTCATTAAAGATGTGCCAAAATTAGTATTTATTGTTCTAGAGGGTCCTTAGCTGAGGTATGTGTACCTCTGATAATGTGCAAAACATTTACTTATAGTGTGCTTTGCCTTGCTTAAACTGAGGCAGCAAAAGGGATGAGAGATATTTATTAATTAATGCAGTTGGGGTAAACATGAGTGGAATTGTGCTTTGTGTAGTTGATGTGCCACACAGCTGATGCATTTGTGGAGAGGTGAGGGATAATAATGATGTGGCTGGGATTGTAGTTTGGAAGAAGGTGGAATGTGTGATTGATACATGTAGGGCAGCAGATAGTACCATTCTTCTTGAACATGTGTTCAGGAACAACACAAAGAGCTGGCTACTAGTGGCATCTGTGGCTACAGGTGGTACCTGAGCAAAAGGATTGATAACATTGTCCTGCTTACATATTAATTTATTTTTCTTGAAGTGTTTCATGAAGTCCATTCTGTGAGTAGTCTACAGAAGTGGTCTGAGTCAGTCATGTCACCTGGAAAGCCTGAGCAAAGAAAATGGAAGCAATAATAAAACTTTCTACTTGCTTTTCTAGGTATTTTTGACTCTCTTAATAAAGAACGTTGTGAGAAAGATGAGGGAGCTTTGGAAACTATGATGGATAAGTCATCACCACCACCAAAATGGTATGCTTAATGAGAAAATGATAAAAAAGCAGTGGGAAAAAAAAAAGAAATTTATTTGCTGGACTTGAATATTTTGCATGTCTTGAACCTTAGTGGAATATTTCAGTAGCCCATTTCTTACATGTCACCACCACCTAATTTAGCAAGATAGGCCTAAAGTAACTGCTGCTTTCTCTGGCTGGTGACTGATTGATCAACTAGTTGCTGCTGAATAGGGTGTGTAGCAGCCAAGTTGCAAAGTTTTTATCTCACTTTTTAAATATATTGTTCCAAGCTTTAAGAGGTGGGTGGAGAGATTAGAAAATTTTGTTTCTCGGCTAAATCTCCTCAACAAGACTTTTTTCATGACTCTTCTTGAGAGTTACAATTACGTTGTTCTGTAACTACTCTTACTGTATTACCAGTGAAGGATAGAACACAGAACAATTATATTCCAAAATTTTTTGCCTGTTTGTCATTTGTTTAGTCCAGGAATGTTTCGTGACCTTTTGAATTATGCTATATTTCATAATATGAATCCTACAGATACTTGAAAGTTTCCTACAGGAGAGAAAGGGAGTGTTGTGGGTTGAGGTGGCTGGGTTTTTGGTAGTGGGGGGGGGCCACATAGGGTGGCTTCGATTAGAAGCTGCTAGAAGTTTCCCCCCAGTGAAGCCAGTGATAGTTGGCTACAGGAGGGACTTCCTGCTGCTGACCAAGGGATAGCCAATAATTATGCCTCTGTGATAACATATTTAAGAACAAGTTCTGTTGCGCAGAAGATTTCCAGTCAGGGGAGAGCTGACTGAAGCTCCTGGGCAGCCTTGCTGCCTCCTCTGCTGTGGGGGTGGGTGGCGGCAGCCCGGCCTGGGCCTCTCGGCACCTAGCCCAGAGCAAGCAGTGGCGCCCCAGCTGAGCCGCCCGTGCTGCTCTCGGCAGTGCTGGCCGAGCTGAGCAGCAGCCCCTGTGGAGGGGTGGCCGGGGCTGGGGCAGCCCACCATGGTGCAGCTGAGCCCATGCTGGAGCAGATGGATGCATGGAAGAAGGCCGTTACCCCCGTGGAAGGCCCAGGATGGAGCGGAGTCCTTCAAGTGACTTGTGTCCTGTGGAGAGGAAAATCCACACCACAGCAGGTTATTCCCGGGTAGGACTTATGGCCCTGTGGGGAATCCACATCGGTACAGCTCATGCTATGAAAGACTGCATCCTATGAAGGACCATCGGGGTGCAGAGACCCCCCCTGCACCCCATGCAGAAGTCACTCTTGGGACAGTAGATATGGAAGAACTACTGCCTGAGGGATGGACTCACATTGGAGAGGTCCATCAGGGACTGTTACCTGTGGGAGGGACCCCACAGAGTAGGGGAATGACTCAGTGCTGTGGCACCCATGTAACCTGTGGTGAGGACCATGGTGAAGCAGGCTGTTCCCCTGCAGCCCATGGAAGAGTGACCTACGGGACAGCAGATTTGGAAGACCTGTGGCCCGAGGGGTGGACTTGTCCCCCTGCACTGCTGCGGGGGCAGGAGGGAGAACATGGAAGGAAGGAGGGGTGGGTGGAAAGTGTGTTTAAGACTGTTTTATTTCTCACTCTTTAGATCTTATCCTGTTAGTAATAAATTTTAGTATTAGTTCCACACTGAGTCTGTTTTGCCTGTGTGGCCTCTCCCAGCTCAGAGCGACTTCAGTGGGTGCCTAGAATCTGGCCAAGGTCAACCCACGACAGGAGTTAGCAAAGGAAGGTTGTCCTTTATTGGACATATGATTCTTAGACATCAGCAGAAGTAGTTGCATATAAGTCTCAGAGGTTGTCAAAGTAGTTAACAACTAAATTCTGCATTTCTTTCAGTGACTTCATATGGTATAGATTTTTGTCGTCTTCTGATTCTACAGACAGGTAACAGCAAATATTAAGATTTTAAGGTGTGCTTTTCCTAACAAGTGAGGATTGCATTTTTGAGAGCTATGCAATTAGCACTAAATTCCCTAGAAGTGTTAAGGCTGAAGTCTTTGGTAGCCAGGAGATTGTTAAATATCAACAAGTTTGTATAGGAACAGACCTGTGCATGCTGGAAGTGATTCAGACAAAGAATACAATATCTAGGAGAAAGAATGATGTCCAAGTCTGCAGAAGACTTTTCGGTTATCTTTGATTGCAGAATGCCGAAAACTTGTTTACAGAAGTATCGCAAAATCCCTTCTTTTTGTGTATAGTAATCAAGGGCAAAGTTTATTAATTTGTTAATTTTGGGAGGCTGATACACAAGTAGGGCTAAATCCGCCCTAATTGTCACATTGTTCTCCCTATAGTAAAATTGCTTTCTGATGACCGGGACGAATTGAGGGAAATCGTAACGGACAGATACGGAGCATACAATATGTAACAGCCTTTTAAGATGCCAGGCACCCACTAAGGCTGCTCTCTGCAACCAGACAGAGGAGAGAAAAAAAACCAGCTAAGGATTCATGAGTTGAGTTTACAGCTGGGAGAGGTCAGTTACTGATTACCTTCACGGGCAAAACAGACTCAAAGTGGGGACAGTACTTAAATTTAGTACTAACAGGATAAGAGCAAAAGAGTGAGAAATCAAACAGCCTTAAAAAAACACCTTCCCCCCACTCCTCTTTCCTTCCATGTTCTCCCTTCTCCCCTCCCAGCGGTGCAGGAGGACGGGAATGGGGGTTACAGTCAGTTGTTGTTTCTGCCGCTGCTCAGGGAGAAGAGTCCTCCCCCTGCTCCCGTGGGGTCCCTCCCATGGGAGACAGTCCTTGATGGACCTCTCCAATGTGAGTCCATCCCTCAGGCAGCAGTTCTTCCCAAACTGCTGTCCCATGGATCACTCCTCCATGGGGTGCAATCCTTCATGGATGAGCTGTACCAATGTGGGTCCCTCACAGGGGCCACGAGTCCTACCAAGGAAAAACCTGCTCCAGCCTGGGCTTCCCTCTCCACGGACTGCGGGTCTCTGGCAGGACCCTGCTCCATCCTGGGCCTCCCACGGGGGTCACAGCCTCCTTCATGCATCCACCTGCTCCAGCATGGGCTTCTCCATGGGCTACAGGTGGGTTTCTCCACCCCAATGGCCCTCCATGGGCTGCAGGGGCACAGCTGCTCCACCATGGTCTGCACCATGGGCCACAGGGGCCTCAGCTCTGGTGCCTGGAGCACCTCCTGCCCCTCCTTCTGCTCTGACCTTGGTGTCCACCTTGTTATTCCCATCTTCTCACTCCATTCTTCCCTGTCTGGGATTCCTTCTGCACAACAATCTTCAGTTCTTAAATATGTTATCACAGAGGCGTTACTATCACTCCTGATTGGCTCAGCCTTGGCCAGCAGCAGGTAGCCTGTCCTGAAGCCGTCTGGCATTGGGTCTACCGGACAGGGGAAGGTTCTAGCAGCTTCTAACAGAAGCCACCCCTGTAGCCCCCC